TGATTCAGCTTGTTGAGTATGAGTTTTAAATGAAATGAATGTGAATTCCAAATTCTGTGAGTGAAATGTTCTGTTTTTGCTGTTGTTTGTGTTTGTTTCTGTTGTAAATCATGTGTTTGGGAGATGAAAAGACAGGTGGACTGGAAAGTGTTGAATCTTCTCTCCTTCACATCCATATAAACTCTTCGGGGACAGTTTGAGAGAGTGGGTGGTTGGCAGGTGCTCTGGTGTGGTTTGCTCCTTCTTTCCTATAAAAAGTATATCATCTTTATCTCCCCTCCTTCTTTTTTGTGTTTGTTACTCTCTTGTAACACCTCTAATCTTCGGCACTTATATGTCCTTATTGTGTTGCAAGTGCCGTAAAACTCTTACTAAAACAAAACAGTATGAGAAGATATTCATCTAATAAAACTTTGTTTCTACACATCCGTTCCCAAAGGTTTGACAAGGAAGAGAGAGATGTGGATTCAGACAGGTCTCAGATGAGCCGTTCCATGTCTACTATCTCTGCTTCCCTGTCTGCTGACAGAGTGCCTCTGACAACCCCAGAGCTGAGCCCAGAGCTACAATTGAGCCCTTTACCACTGCTGAGTCCCACGTCTACCACAACGCCTCTGCTGGGTGCCTTGTCCTTCACCATCATCCCAGCTTTCTCGGAGAGCTGCGCAGCAATGAAGACTCTCCTGCCTTGCCAGGCTTTTGCTCGAGAATCAGGAGCGACTAGTGAGTATTAATCCAATGGACCCTGGTCTCCTGAGCCCAAAATAACCTGTCCTCTGGCTTCCTGAGCAAAAAATGCTGACATGGTTACATGCAAAAGACGCAAAAGACTATTCAAAACAGTTTTCTCTTCCATGAACTGCTTTGACCTTTACAATAGTTACCACAAACCTACAAGTCCTTTTAACGTCATTTTTCCCCTTTTTATCCTTGTACGGACTACTGTTCTATGATAGACAAGCACACACCAATAAATCGGTGATTAGGGGCAGGGGAAAATAACCCGCACACCGATATTCCTGGGTTTGTTGGGTTAAGACAAAAATACAGTGGAAGCTTTTAAGACAGCCATCCATTGTTGAGGCGAAAAATGGCCATCCAAGATAGATGGCTGTCTTACACAGTAGCAATACAATGTAAAAAATACACAAGGGAGAAAGTAGAAAGTGGCCTTTTGTTCTGGTGTCTGTCATAAACAGGTGGTCATTAGAGCTGGTTCAGCTGTACCTGTATATAGAAAGAAGTGTTCTGACAAAAGTCCAACAGGCTTTGGGTCTCAACACACATGCTGATTTTGAATGCGAGTGAGTCCAATTTTGTTCTTTATTTCCGGGAACACTTTTTTAGTTTTGCTCACATCTGAGTGTCCTAAAGTGGCCAAGTGCTCTCATGGCTGCCAACCATTATGTTAAAAAACATGTTAAGTTCATTTTTGGGGGTCTGAGTACATCAGTACGTTTTTGTGTTAGAAAAATAGCTGCGGAGATCTCTTTTTAAAAAATACCCCTCCCCCCAAAAAAAACAACCCCAAACTGTGCAGCTCTTACCTCTTGCTTGACCTCACAGTACTTGAAGACTTGTTAAAAAAATTCCACACTAAAGGGGTATGGGGCTTGAAATGTCTGCTTATGTGTGTATGCCGTTGTGCACAATACTGACCAAATTGAGCCATGTCAAATCACTCAACTCAAAGCAAGTGTATTAAAAAAGAAATTGTGAAATCAGTTGGACTTGGCTGTCTGTTAAGAGTGAGGGGTCTTCTTTGTAGTCTTGAGGGAATGCTATGTATTAACCAAAGTAATTGGGTGGCTGGTAGGAGCTCTGATGTGGTTTGCTTCTTCTCTCCTATCAAACATCGACCGTCCTTATCTTTTCTCTTTTTTTTGGTGTTTTTACCTCTCTTGTAACACCTCTAATCTTTGGCGCTTACATTACCTAATATTGTGTTGCAATTGGTGTTAATTGCTTACTAAAACAGAAACAAATGAAAGTATTTTGTGCATTCTTTTTGTACAGCTCAGAACCTCTATGACTACCGCAGCGGATGCCTGCTGAAGCTTGTAGTCAACATGGACACCATGCTGGAGAGTTTCCGGAATGCCTATTGGCAAACACGACTGGCCATTCTTCACTACCTCATCCTACATTGCAAAGATGTTCTGGCCATCCGGAAGGTAAGTTGCAACAGTAAAATAGTGCTTACACCTTTGATGATGGGTGGTTGGCAGATGCTCAGGTGTGGTCTACTCCTTCTTTCTTGTTAAACATCTATCGTCCTTATCTCTGCACAGACATAATCGTTTACACAGAAGGAGAGGTGAGAATGGTCAATGTTTGATAGAAGAGAAGGAGCGTACCACACTAGAGTACCCATCGGGTACCCAATTAAGTCTTTAAAAAAATGCATAGTTCGAAAATGAGATAAAACCCTGGTGATGATGTAAGTTAAAGAAATGGTCACGGTTGTGCTTTTTATGGGGAATAGTTGCTTTTGCTAAAGAAAGGTGCTGAGCTCAGACACATGTCATTCCTTCTAATTTTCCAAAGAATAAAAGCCTATTTGCTCATTGTCATCATCAGAATTGAGACCTTCTGACTATTTGTGTGTCCCTCCACGCACTCTTGCATGCACGCGTGCACCGCACGCACGCACCGCACGCACGCACACACACACACACACACACACACACACACACACACACACACACACACACTCACACTTTCTTTGCGTAAAGTATATAAGTTTATAAATTTTATCAAATGTGTCACATCTAGGTGTTCGAAGTCCTTTGTGAGAATGTGACCAATGCTGAGATCAACACAATGTTCACAGAGTACTTAGTTGGTGAGTAGATTCTCCTTGGACTGCCTCTATAATTGTTTTTGTGCCATCGGTGCTCATAATGTGACTGCTGTCCGTCTTGTTGTTTTCTTCTTTGCCTCGTGAAACTTTACTATACTTTACTTTTCCGATCCAGCGGCCATCTGAGTTCTAGCCCTTCGGCCTGTCAATATGGCAAAGAATTTACAGGTTTTTATCTGCTGTGTTTTGTCGCTGTATAGAGTATTTAGGATATCAGGAGAGGCAGGGAGGTAGGTACTACGCAGGTCGCTAAGCGGAGGGCAGGTGAAGAGGTGGTGTGATACTGTTTCCTCCTGGCAATCACCCAGCGGGCAGTCATGTCGGGTATCCTTGCGAATCCTCTTTAGGTAGGAATTCAGTGGGATGTGTAATGCCTTGTGAAAGAAAAACAAATCAATTTGCTGTGCAACATATTTTTACGACTTCTTTTTGAATTTTTTCTCATGTAATATTGTGTGTTTCTGTGATGGAACGTTTAAAATATTTCTGGAAATAAAAAGTTAAATGAATGTGAACTTTTAAGTCTGTGAGTGAAATGTACTGTTCTTGTTTGTTCTTGTTGCTGTTGTCAGTCTAAAAGTTCATGTGTTTGTGACTCAGCTCGGCCCTAACAGTGCAAGAGAGGGAAAAGGTGGTGTGAGAGAACGACGCAGACAAAGAAGGATGAGTGAGAGGGAGGGAGAGAGGGGGGAGTCAGTGAGAGAGAGAGAGACAGAGACCGAGAGGGGGGTGTGTGAGAGAGGGGGAAAGATGGGGGAGTGAGAGATGGAGTGAGAAAGTGCGATTCATTTGTCCGACTCAACTTGATTTTATTCTCTTTCCTGTTGTTCAGCCTCAACCTTCGCGGAGATGAAAAGACAGGTGGACAGGGAAGTGTTGAATCTTCTCTCCTTCACATCCATAGAAACTCTTCGGGGACAGTATGAGAAGGTATTCAGAGAGAAAGTTAAGGTTTTGGGCTGTAAGAAAATACTTATAATTCAAACAATTGCTGTTTATACAGTTTCAAGAGTTTGTTAAAAAAAAGATAATATCTATTGTGTTTGAGGAACTGTTGTTGAAGATTGTAACTTAAATGTGCCATGCCATCATTGTTAATTTGCTAGTTTTGATCTTTCTGATTGTTAAATACTCTTTTACAGCAAAGTGGACTGAGGTGAATGTAATAAAGGACTTTTCCAATGAATACAACATCCTGTTCAGCACAACTGAAAGTCAAACCCATGATCTACTGCCTTGCATTACGAGAACCTATTTGTATCAGAATCTTACAGTTTTTTGTCAGAGATGTCTTTTGCTCTGTTTCGACAAGATTTCATTTTAAATATGATTTCTTTTCTTCAGAGTCCTTCAGGGGAACGTTTGGCTCACGTCTCATACTCATCCCTGGAAATTGTTGAGCTGAACAAACGGCCAAGCAGAGAGCAGAAGAATCGGTCAAACGAAGACTTTTGGGATACCTTGATCCGGAGACTGAGGTCAAGACACACAGAGATGCCTGCCAAGTTCTCGCATGATTCGCTGATGAGGCAGTACCGGCAAGCCGAAATGGAAGAAGCTCTTGGAAAGGTAAGATGATGCAGGTTATTGATATCAGAATGAAGTTGCGTAGGAAAGGAATTTCCTAACTGGAGTTTGTCTCTTCAATTTTTTTCCCTCCCGTTATTTCTGTGTTTTGTTGTATAGGCATAAGAAGCTTATACTTGTTGCCACATTTAACATCTGCATGTCTTTATACTTTCCCAAATCCTTTTTTTTTGTGTTGACAGTGAGGGGAGTTTGATAAATATGTTTAAAAAGAACAAGATTGCTTAAATTAAAAGTTTCAAAGGAAAAAAGAAATGTAAATGATGGTTTTCAAGTCCTTACAATTTACAAGATGAAAAACAGACAGCTGTTGGATCATTAGGTTTTTGCTTCCCCAGACTGTGTGGGACTCAAGGCATGTTCCAGATTCTTTCTTCGACGGAGTCTACACTTTGAGGGTCACTGAGATGCCTCCTGGTCTGAGAAAGAAGTCTTCGAGAGACAGTGACCACAGCGAGTCGTCCAGTGGCAGGCGGAGCAAAATCGACGCTGTGCTGGGGCAGGCCCCTCTGTTCCTGCAGACCAAGATCACACAGGAGTCCCAGATTTTCAAACGAAGGCTCTCAAAGATGGTGAGTATCGATGAGTTGTGGCAAACATACTGCTTAGGCTAAGTTTTCTTGTAAATGAGAAAAGGGTTTGTAGACCTTGAATAATGTATTTCTTTTGGTAAATGCGCACTTCAAAGTCTCCTTTTGCTTGATTATATCTATGCGTAGTCAAGGTCTTATACGAAGAGAGACCATAACCAGACCTTTATCATTATTGTCCTAACTCTGGTAATGAACTTTGACTAACAAAAATGTTGTGAAGAAAAAGAATGTGTTAAGATGAATCTAAGACACAGTAATGAAAAACTATCTTTTTCTGGTAAATAAACAAAATGTGCCCCTCTGACACCCTGAAATGTTATGAGGACCATTTTTCAAAGCTCTCTACTTCTTCTATCCATTTTTTACTTTGTTTCCAAGTGTATGACATTAGATTTTAATTTGATATTTAAAAATACATTTTTTCATTCTATTATCTCTCCTTTTATCCCTTCAATATAATAAATTATCACTGTATTCCTGTTTATTAATCTTTATTAACTGATTTTTCAATAAGACAGAAGATCACCTCACAAGCCACTTGAGCAAATTCTTGAGAAAAGAATCTCGGTCTAAAGCCAAGAACGTTGCAAAAGAGTTTTTGTTTTGTCAGGTAAGAGTGAACTGCCAAAGAAGGCTTTTTAGATTTGGTTCTGTTTGTTTTTTCCTAACTTTTTTATGAAACATCCTGTCAAAAGTGTCATCATCACTTAAAGCTATTTCTGTTGTTATCATCATTTTCATAAGCCAAATTTAAATTTTATTAATTTATATTCCAATTTTGAGAAATGAGTTTACATTTCAAAGTCAAAACTAGGGGCATATGATTTTTCTAATTAATTAAGCCAATATGATAATTTTGATTGAACACTTAGACTACTGGTAGGAGAGAAAAAGAGCTGGAGCTAGGAAAGTTGTCAAAAAGTATTAAATGCGTCAGCATTTGTTTTCGAGTCACTTAGTGATGAATAATTTACTTTTTCAACTGTAGAGCCACTGCTTATGCTTTTGTATATTTTGCTTAGAGTGAATTTACCTGATGAGATTATTGTTTCTCAGAGATATCACACTTTAAAGTGGGCGCTCATATGACCTGTTGAAGTTGCGAGCACCGTAAAACTCTTACCAAACTAAAAACAACACTTATGCAGATTGACTTTATCAGCGTCCTGATAATTCTTAGTGCTCTGTCATGAAAACTCTTTCTCCTATTACTGAACTAAAAGGGAGTAGACTTAGAATCCTCTGAAATATATTTTTATAGAGAGTTTGGTTATCTTTGGCTTTGTGTTGTCATTTCTATAGCCTTTACCCTGGGCCCTTGTTTGCTTGAATTTTTACCTTTGTAAAAAAATATTTGCTTTCGACCTCTGCTCTTGGTTGTTATACCTGTAGCCATGTGTTTGTTTTATGTCATGTGGGCCAATGGCCTTAAACACTGAATAAAACACCTATCTACCTAAAAAGAAAAATACCGATAGCCTTTATCATTTTACCTTTAACCTTTGCTGTGGGTGGTTGGTGGGTGCTCTGGTGTGGTTTGCTCCTTCTTTCCTGTCAAACATCTACCATCCTTATCTCCCCTCCTTCTTTTTTGTGTTTGTTACTCTCTTGTAATACCTCTAATGTTCGGCACTTATATGACCTTATTGTGCTGCAAGTGCCGTAAAACACTTACTACTAGACTGTCTGTAATCTTTGCTCTCAGGCCAAAGTGTCGAGACAGCTGTGCCATCTCATCTGGAGTCTGCGTGGTCAGAACCTGTCTCATCAGCTGGAGGACACACTATTGCCCAACCTGTAAGTTGCCGGCGTAGCTACACTGCCGTAAGCTGACAAAACACCTTTTTTTCTTCGGGAGCAGTTTCGAGAAAAAGAGTTTTTTTTGCCAGCGTAATCATTTTAAAATAGAGTAATTCCAAAATTTTAATTCTGATTTATTCAAAAACTAGTCATGGTTTCAATTTGATTTTTTTTCATGCAAGAAGGGTCGCTGATCAGGCTAGTGCACGGTGAGGAAAGCAATGATGAGGGTAGCTGATCAGGCTTTTGATTTAGCAAATAAAAGATTTTGGCTCCAAAATGAAAAAAGGCATTTTGGTAGCTTAGGGCAGTGCAAAGATTCTAGTTTCTCTGAGCAATGAGATGACTTTTAATTGTTCATATCAAGGTTCTATGCCTCCAATATTTTTTTGCAGGTGTTTGGAGGGCTTCGTTGGTGGATCCTACTTCTTTATTTTCCCTCTATTGTTTCTGTCTGTCTGTCTGTCTTACTTTTTCCCAGCACTAAAGGACCATTATTGTGTCGATGTGCTTCTCTTTACTCAAACAAACAAACAAACATCCACTATTTTTTGTTGGTTCCTTTCTTTCCATGAAATCGAGAAAGAGCTGTGTGTACCTTTTCATTTCAAACAAAAAAGAAATGTGCTTCTCTTTATTCAAACAAACAAACAAATCTTTCCTCCTGTGTTGTATACATTAGTGGTTTTGTGTCTCGTCTCCCGTCAGACAAGATCCTGGCACAGATGAGGAATACGAGCTGTTTCAGCTGTACGAGAGGCTGTACCTGACAGCCGGTGACATGGGATACCCCTTGCCTCCAGGTGAGTGTCTGGATGTCAGGACAATCTATTTAACTGTATCCGTACGCCGTGTTTTACTATCGTATCCATACGACGTGGGGAGCTCTGTGCCACCACTTTACAAAGAGGAAATTTACTCGTTAATCCGATGCGTACACTTTGCATAGCAGTCTGTCAAAATGATTTTTTGAGAAATACTGAAAGTTTCAAAGAGATCTTCGCACTAGAAGTATTCTAAAATATGAAGAATACAACCCCGGCGGTACAAAATGACCCTTGGGCGTATGGATAGAGTTAGTCTATTTCTACTACCGTGTGGGTTCCCTGAGTTTAGATATCAATGTGGGTGGTTGGGGATGCTCTTGTGTGGTTTACTTTTCCTTTCCTATCAGTCATGTATCATCCTATTTTCTCCTCCTTCTTTTTTGTGCTTTTTACTATCGTGTGACACCTCTAATCTTCAGCACTTATATGACCAAATTGTACTGCAAGTGCCGTAAAATGTTTACCAAATCAAAAAATATTGTTTTTACCTTTGGGACATGCTTGACTATCTCAACAGGCATTTGAAAGGCTGTTTTTTTTTGTGTGTTTTAAAAAAAAAAAGTTTTACAGCACTCACAATTGCATGTAAATTGCTCCTTCTTGCCTATCAATCATCTGTTGTCCCTATCTCTCTTCCTTCTTTTTTGTGTTTGTTACTCTCTTGCTTGTAAGATTGATAGTAAAATGTTGTAAAGCTATTTATGAATCCTAGTCGAAAACTCACATGTAAAGTTAATGGACTGCTTTGTGCAAGACTCCGCTCTGCCATACACCCTTTTGAAAAGTGACTCGCAACCAATGAGGTTATATATAATACTAGAGGTCACAGCAATGACGTAGCTCATGTCAGACATGGGGACCTTCTTACCCTCATCGGCATAGCTGGTGTGCCCCCTTTTACATGAGCAATCAGAGCCCCCGCTCCCCACATCCTCTAGTATATTAAACACCGTCCTGCCCTCATATTTCAGTGCAAGCTTGTAGATTTCCTCCTAAGACCGTCAAGATGCCTCCACGTGAGACTCAAGAAGTACTCACCCGTCTGTTGAACTGCGGGCGCATGTCTTGCCCTTGAGGTTGAGCGTCCCAGGGTGACATACGCAGCCCCTATGTCGTTTATGTGGGTGACATCACTGTCACAAACTCTAGTACTAAATATAACCTCTTTGCTCACAACAGAGTCTCTCACTGAGCAGTCAAAATGAATTTTCTCTTTCAGGACAATGTTCACATTTCTAAATTAATTGTTGCTGCCGAAATGATATAGTACTATTTATTTTTGGTCAATTCCTTTTATCAAAGAAAATAATACTGTTCAAGTGCATAGATCTACTCTGAAGTTTTATTAAAAACAGGTGCAAAAAATTTGAACAAAATCAGACATTTCTTTTTTCCTCTCAACTTCTTTATCCCTCAGGTTTCTCAAGTTTCTTCACTGCACTAGGGTTTAAGTGTTTGGAACTTCAGTGAGTTTTTTGTTGTTGTTGGAAATGTTTTGTTGTCTTTGTGTTTGTATGAAGAGTTGGTGTGGATATGTATGTGGAATCTGTGTTTCTAGCATCCAATTTTAAAAACTCTTGCATCATTCTTTGGAGAATTTTGTTTTGAATTAGATATGTAAAACTTCAGTCTGATTTTTTAATATAATTTTGTAATTGAGCATAACAAGACCAATGTAAGTAATAAGACTAATTTAAGTAAGCACTGTTTTGTTTTGTTTTGTTTTTTAAAACAAACAAAAAATGACTTGGACAATTATGTTTTGACCATGATGTTTTTGTTTCTGTTTCAGTCTGTTCTTCCAGTATGTGGACAATCATGTTCTGATCCTCACCCCAGATTTTATCCTACAAATGCTGGATGGTAAGTTTGACCATTAAACTCTCTTTATGGTTTAGACAATTGTAGGTTTGTTGTAATGACCATGTTGTATATATCTGAGAAAAATCCCCAAGAAGTTTTGGAAATAAGACAAGTTCAGTGCCCCCTTCCTTCTTGACATATTTTATATTGAATTGTTTCCTGGTCGGAGAAAGTATATTGAATTGTTTAAGCTTCTTCTGTAGGTACCACAACCTCCCGTCCTAGATAGTTCAAGTGGTACAGGGACAAAAAGAGGTGTTTACTAAACTATAGTTCTGATTTGTGTTCTGCAGTTCGAAATGGGCCGAAACATTGGCTCTGGTCTGCTTCTGATTAGACAAATGTGTCCGTTTCGTCCTTAAAGAGTTAAGACAAACTGATACAAATCATTGTGCCAAAGCTGGAGTGTCTATGTTCGATAGTGTAGGACATATTTGACAATAACTTGCGCCACGAATTTATGACTACTATAGCTGTAGGAATTCACATCACCTTGTCATCCCTTTCCCCTCCTAGGTGAAGAACAGTCCTGTTACGCCGGGCCTAGTGGTGCTTTTCCTTATTTAAACACCATGATTTGGTAGAGTGAGCTTCTCAGGCATGATACAAATGTCCTGTGGGTGGTTGGCAGGTGCTCTGGTGTGGTTTACTCCTTCTTTCCTATCAAACATCTATCATCCTTATATATCTCTCCTCCTTCTTTTTTGTGTTCGTTACTCTCATGTAACACGTCTAATCTTTTGGCACCTATATATATATGCCTAATTGTGTTGCAGATGCTGCTTACTAAAACTAAACAAATGTCTTTTTGGTCTCACCAGATCTCCCCGATGACGCAGACGACGAAGTACCACAAATCAAGTTTCAGGTCATCTCCAGATTACAAAAGGTAATTTTCTTCACTTGTCCTTCCTATGTAAAAGGTAAGTTTTTTTTTGCTTTTAATGGCCTTGTATACAAACGATGACCTCTGGACTCAGTGTCCATTATAAGATTGTGGTAAGAAAAACTGAAGACAACATTTTGTTCGATGTAGTTTTTTGAGCTGCTTGACGTAGAACTGGAGAAGTCTTAAGTGCATGTTACTGATGAAGAAGTGGGCACGTTATTGATCTGTAATGAATTTAGCTGGAAATGCTTTTTCTATTTGTTATCAGAAATTTACTGAGACATGTTCAAATGAGGCTGATCCGTTTTTGGAGGAAAGAAGATCAAAGTTTTTCTTTTGAAGGGTAAAGAGCAGAAGCAAGCTAGTACTACAGTTATATGCTCTTCCAGCTCAGTGATCTCCTGCTATGGAAAATCATTGTCTCTACATCAGTGCAGATCTTTTCTCTCAGACTGTTGAGAATAAAAGCTTTTTTTTTCTGTACTTTGCTGATGTTTTCTACCACCTCTGCAATCACTCAGTTTTGATTGTGTTATATCTGTTGTTTCATCTTGTGTTACATCTGCTGTGACTTATAATGAATTCCTTATTAAGAAAGCGAGTACCTTTTTTCAATGGTGGGTGGTTAGCAGGTGCTCTGGTGTGGTCTGCTCATTCTTTCCTGTAAAACATCTATCGTTCTTATCTCTCTTCCTTTTTTTGTGTTTGTTATTCTCTTGTGACTAATCTTCAGTACTTACATGGCCTAACTGTGTTGCAAGTGCTGTAAAACGCTTGCTAAAAACATTAAGTTTTTTCAATGCTTGAAGAGTTGATATTTGTGCTGAAAGTATGACAAGTTTTGAATTTTGATCTTGTTTGAGATAGCTGTCTGAGATTGGTTATGCTCACTCACTGTCTAATCACAGAGTTTTGCTGAGGAGTGCTTTGAGCGTTGGAATCATCCAATCACACAGCAGCGAAAAGCTCGGGAACAGGTGGCGCAGATCCTTCTGCGTGGTGAGTCGATGTGTCGGGGGTTTCTATTTTTAGTCCTTATAGCTCTTCAAATCGTGTCTTAATTCTCAGTACATCAGTATTCTTTGTAGTATTGTATATCACTTTGATATTATTATGAGTCTTGTCAGACTTTAAAAGAAATTTTGATGAAGCATGAATTTTTTTTTTCCGAGGATTTTAGCTAAATATGAGTTTTGATATTGCTTTCATTTCTTCACTCATTTCATAATAGTAGGCTCTATGGTTTTGAAAAGGAATATAAATATTTGTATATAGTGTAGTGTGTAGTACCGCTATTTTTCATTTCTTGTTCACTGAGATACTGTACTTTATTATGTTCCACAATTTGTAGCACTGCTTTTGGTTGTGGCATTTCGCTGCTTTCGTTCTGGTCTGCTTTAGCCTATGGTACTTCACAGTCTGTCTGCATGCAATGTCTTGATGCAAATAGCACTTTTGGCTCACATATATTTTTTTCTTTCTATTCTTATGGGCTTTATCTTGATGAGAGGATCTTTTTTTCAAATGCTTCTACAGTTTCAATCAATTTTTTGCCACTTCAACGCTATACAAGGACAATGCTCTTTTTGCTAACAATATATTATCAAACTTTTCCAAGACGACCACCCATTGTAGGGGAGAAAAGTGGTCATCTTAAACAGGTGGTTCTCTTGGACAGTGTCATTTTCACATGGGGAAAAACGCGAGGGGTAAGCCGTAAGTGGTCGCTACAAGTTCAGGTGGTTGTGTTGGACAGGTGGTCATTAGAGCAGGTCTGACCTGTCTTTTACTTCTGAAGTACAATCTGTTCAGAGACCTATTCATTTTTTCTCATAAAGAAGATCAACAACAGATCCCCCAGAAACAAGATGGGAAAATTATCGGAAAAGAGTGTATGAAATTTTGAAAGTAGGGGCCTTAATTCATAGCAATTTTGTGTGACTATACATATGAGACTGTGGATCATCACCTGTTACAATGCACAGCCCTAAATGACATCAGAGCTACACTTCTCCCTCCGAGACCTAACATTGACAACACACTCTATGGAACATCACAGCAGCTGCAGCAAACTTGCACTTATCACTACATGGCATTGGACAGAAGGGCGAGAGCTCAGCTGTTGCTGGATCGATAGCAACAACAACAATATCAAATCACAGCAACCTTTTTTTTATTATTGAAGTCTTAAAGCCTGACTTGTAATTAATATTTACAAACATACACACACTCTCTCTCACTCACACACCACCACACACACACAAACACACACACACACACACACACACACACACACACACACACACACACACACACACACACATACACACACACACACACACACAGAGCAGCAAAGCTTTTACTGTCCTACATACAGGGCACTGTGGGTTGAAGAAATTTGTAGTATCTTGAAAAAGCTTCAGTCATGTGACTATATAGGTTATACTCAACCAGTTATAATCAAATTTATAATAATGTTATCAACATTGTGAGTGGTTAGGCTACCAGAGGGGCTCTCGTGGCCTAGAGGTTAAGGTGTTGGCCTCTCATTCAAAGGTCCCGGGTTCGAATCCGGGTAGCGACCGAAAAATTTTCTTCTCTAAAATTGTCTCCTGTCCCCTCCTTTCCTGCTCTCCAGCAATGTTCTGTCGTCTGCTTTCTGCCCCCACCCCCTCACCTCCTTTGTTCCTTCCTCTGGGCTCCTGACTTTCTGCAGCCTTTCTACTGCTACTCCTAGGCTCCTCCTTACTGCTGTCTTTCTGCCACACCCCTGATCTTCTGGTAGGAAAGATCTACACCTAGCCTTCTCGGACAAGGGTGAAAAATCTCGGAGGGCCCGTGTGCAAGTGTGCACGTTAAAGATCCCTTGGTGGTCTAAAATCGATAAGGGTAGGCTTCGGCCGCCACCCGAGCAAAATTCAAAATTTACTACCTACTGAAAATATAAGGTGTGTCCCGCGCGCTCATATGACCTTATGCAGTTGCGAGCGCCGTAAAAAACTTACAAAAAAAAAAAAAGAAGGCTATCAGACTGGTGATTGTGAGATTGTGGGTTCAGGGATTTGAGGCTCAGCTCAGTCTGATGTTATTTCTTTAGGAACGGCACTTTCCATGACTTTCTTATTTGACTCAGTCCTTTCAGAGGTAGACATTTAACTCTAAAGTCCCACGATACCTCTTAAATAACCTAATAGTGCTGATAGGGATGTTAAAACCTGTACTATTTCACATTTCAACATTGAGAAATACCTTAATTTGCAAACAAGCCAGATGTAAGAGTCTGGCCAAAGTGTCCCAAAGCAAGGATTCTTCCTAATCACTAAACTAACCAGCAGTTGAGATCTCGATAAGTAAAGTTACAATCTGATCATATTTGGTTTTTCATAACAACCAATTTTGTTTTTTAATTTAACTTTAAAGAAACCTGTCTGAAGTAATGGATATTGTCATATAGGTGGTGAAGTAGGTATGGCACAAAAAAAATAATGTAAATTTTTTAAAAAGAAACCCATGTGAAGTAATGGATATTGTTATATAGGTGGTGAAGTAGGTGCTGCACCTCTCTTTATTATTGTCTTGATGAGAGTGCAGGGCAAACTACTGAGCACCAAAAAAAATGTTTCAGCTCACACTGACCATATCAGCCATGGTGTTTCTCCTTGTCAACTCCTGTCTAACATGGTGACGGTTCAGTTTGATATCAGCTTTCTCTTTCGCATTTTGTTTTCTTCGTTCTTCTTTCTTTCTTTCCTATCAAACATCTAACATCCTAATCTCTTCTCCTTTTTTATGTGTGCTGCTCTTCAGTAACACCTTTAATCTTCGATACTAAAATTACCTATTTGTGTTGCAAGTGCCTTACAACTCTTACTAAATTAGAAAATAAAAACATGTTGTTTTAAACTAACAACTATTTCAACACTTCTTCTCCTTAATGAATTTAAAACGAGTGGCCGTTTTTGCAAAAATGATGGGAGCTGTTTTGACTGACGTATCATTCATGCTGAAATATATGATTATTTACCACCAATCAGTATTGGATTGTAATTTAGAGGTAAAGCTTTATCAAACAAAACAACAGATGAGCCGTTTCTTTTTATATTGTACTTCTCTAATCAGGGACATCTCTTATTGAATTTAGTTGCAGTTGTACCCGTACAATTTTTCCCAAACCATACATATGGGCTTATAAAAGTCAACAGACTACTTATTTGTTCAATTGGGAAGTTCAAAGTTCAACAGTGTTTGAAGTTTAAGAATCTGTCACATATACCTTTATTCAGTTTAAAACAATACTCATCCGGTAAAATATGTTCTGTTTATATATAGTTTCAAAATGAAGTATTGATTTTTAGCCTCAGTGCTTAAAAAAGATGAGCAGATCAAATTACTATGCTGTCCTTCGTGTTCGCAGTTCAGGGTCAGTTCATAACATATCTAGTAAATACGGGTCAAACTAATTACTTTTTATATTTAGTTCAGTTGTACTTTACTTGTATGGGTTCTTCATGTATATTGTGTTTACTACGGTCAAAATTGTCCAAGACGACCATCCAAAATCGAGGAGAAAAAGGGGTTGTCTTAGATGGGTACAGATCTTACTCAGTGTCCTTATAATGTGAAAGAATTACAAAGTGGGAAATGGGAAGTGGCCGTTTTTACAGGTGATTGTCTTATACAGGTGTCATAAGAGCAGGTTTGACTGTATTTCGTGGATGGTTGACGAGTGCTTTTTCCTACTAAACATCTTTCATCATTATCTCCCCCTCTTTCTTTTCTTTGTATATTGCTCTTTTGTAACACCTCTAATGTTCGGCACTTGTATGACTTAATAGTGTTGTAAGGGCTGTATGACTCCTACTAATACTAAAACCAAACGAGAAGATAATGTTGAAAGAGTTAGAAACTGACATTTTCAGAGATTGAATAAGATTGAAAGGGGATCAATATGACATGTTTAAGATTCAGGTGAAACCCTGATTTATGGAAATCTAGATCGATGACAACAACAACATTAAGATCAATAACATATTACCAATCAATGGAAAGTGAAATGAAAAATTTGTCACGTGTTATTTTATGGGGAGATTCTAGTAATGTTGTCAACTGAGGAAATTGGCACTCATGGCTGTCACTGTGGCAACTTCCCTTGTGGAACATTTATTTATATCTGACTGTAAGCTGTGATATTTATTATTTTTAAGCAAGAATTTTCACTAAGGCTCTTTCATAATTGTTACTTTTGTACAGCGAGTTACAAGCCAGACAAACAAGGCTACAAATGTCAAAAGTTCATTTTTAAAAGGGATCCTTTTGTCTTGATCTATCTTTCTTTTGTTGCTTCCTCAAGCACTATTTGTCTGCTCAGACATATTAGAGACCGTATTAGAAACCCCACCAGACACAGGTCTGATCTGAAGCGTATGGGTTTTTTTGTTTTGTTTTGTCTGGTTTTTTGTGGGTGTTTTTGTGGGTGTTTCTTTTTGTTTGTTTGTTTTTCTGAACTTCATTTGCACCCAATTCACACCTCTTCCATGATTGTTTTGATCACGTTGATGTTACTTCTCACTATTGTGCTTTCGGTGGTTGTCACATGTTACAGGACAGCAACCTACTCCGATGGCGCCTCCAGATAGCGGGCAAGGTCAAGGTCTCACGGGTCAGGACTGCGTTGATTACTTTACTGTCTTCTTTGGCATATATCTTAATGATCCTGTCTGTTTTCTACTTAATTTGTCATTTTCTTCTAACCACAAATTTGACGCTTGTTTCATTTGTCGTTTTTGATGCTTTTTGTTTAACCCCATCCGTACGTCATGTTTTACTATCTTATTCGTACGACATGGGGAACTCTGTGCCACCACTTTCCAAAGAGAAAATTTACTCGTTAATCCGATTCGATCACTTTGCATAGTAGTCTGTCAAAAGGATTTTTTGAGAAATACTGAAAGTTTGAAAGAGATCTTCACGCTAGAAGTATTCTAAAATGTGAAGAATACAACCTTGGGGGTACAAAATGACTCCAGGGCGTACGGATAGGGTTAATAAAAATTAAACTATTTAGAACTCTCAGTACAAGTTTCCTTGTGACAATGTTGAGTTTGGAATAAATTTCAAGAATTGCAGACTGGCATCTGTGGTGTAGTGGATAGACGCTTTGCCATGGCATACAGAAGTTCGGAGTTTGATTTCCTTGTGAGGAGAATTTTGTGGAGTATGTCGGTCTATGTGCCAGGACGTTGTATCCCTTTCAGCCCTGTTTGCTCCTCATGGTGAAGGTCGAAGCCTGCCTTCTAAATTATCCTTATTGTGTTGATGGGGACATATGAACACCCACATTTTATAAAGAATTATAGAATATACATTTACGTTACTCCAAACTTATAATTTTTTTCACTTTATTTGGGTTTGTACTTCTAAAATTATTGACCAATCAGTCAGTGATATGAAAAAAGGTTCTGGGCATTGGTTTGAACATTTGATCAAGAAGAGAGTCTTTGACATATTGAAAGCAATATTCATTGTGCCTATGGAGCCACTGGAAAATGTTTATATCACAATTTTATCTTGTGGGGGATTTGGCATGCTAGATTCCTTCCACTCTTAGCTGTTATGGTGTATGCTGGCTTTAAATTTGTTTTTCTCATATTTAAGCATGTTGTTGACCTGTCAAGCCAGCCTTTGCTATTTCTCCATTATACTTATCCCTTGCATGCCGAGCTTCCTCCCTTTAAATTGAGCCTTCTTTTTTCCTATCATCCATGGTCCAATTTTGTCCCAACACACCTTCTGTAATTATTTCCCAGCTTCTATTTAAGATAAACCAAATTTTCTGCTTCATAAACAGCTAAAAACATGTTGAATAACCTATTTAAAATTCTGGCCAATCAAATAATTGGACACACCAGGCAACTAGTCACAAGCCCTTGTTTACTAAGTCAAGTTCTAGACATCACCTCATCTGCTAAGCTTTCGAGCAATATCACAGTTTTATTGAGAGACAGATCTCATAATTGCTCTTTTTAAAGGTGATATATTGTGATGCTTGTAAACAAAGATGTCTAAATGAAATTGAAGACTTGTTTGAATAAGTTTAATTTCGATAGTCTGAAAAGTTCAAATTGAATTGGACTTACTTATTTCTGTTAAGTTTAGAGTGTTATGTTAAGCTGTGGGCATATGTTTCAATTTTGTCACTCGTGTGTTGCAATTTCATCATAGATTTATTTATACATGTGTATCTTAACATAAGTTCATTGTCTTTTTTGGTCCAAATAATAAAATAATGGCAGAAACCAAAGGTTGTGGTAAAGAAATGACAGTTTATAGACTGTCACTGTAGTATGTAATACACTAATTATGAGTCAACTAAGGATTTAACGTGACATTTGAGGCACATCTTTGTTGAAAGGGGACAGGTTCTGATGGAATAAGTGATGTGGGCGATCGAGACAGACAGGCATTTGGTTTGGACTTTTTTAGAATCAGGGTCATTGGCGCAAACTCTTTTGGTGAAGGGCTGGGTTCACTTGGCCTTTTTTGTCTACAGCCGTTAAATTTTTTTTTTTCAAAATTATATGTTACAAAAGCATATTATGTTGGTTCTATATATATATGTTGTGCTTTTAATTTCTTTTTCTTGCCTTCAGTATGCTTCTCTATCAAAATGATGTGTTCATCTTTTATTCCTGTCCTACCTCTCCCCTGAAAACTCCCCCCACAAATATGTTCCAAACTATAATTATGGCTTGATGGTGATAGATTTTGTTGTCAGAGAGTAAGGGGACCAACTTTTTCTTTCATGTTTTCCCTGAAAATTAGGAAAGTGTTGCTTTAATTTATCTTATATGCTTCTATTTTCTTCAATTTAAGAACTTGGGTTTTTGAAAATAGGAATAGAATTTGTAGAAATAAATAGCCTTCAAGATAGGCAAGTTACCCTAAACTGAATTCATAGACCAGAAACATGAAAAGTAACCACACTCTGGATTTCTGCACTGTATCCATAGGCATTCGACGAAATTGCAACAAGCATATGACGATAATAGTACTAATATGACAAAATTGGAACAACTGACTATATGGCTATTGATAACATTATTCCTGAAGCACCATGTAATTTGTTGGCAAATCACCTGTTTTACTCCACAAAGTATGAAAGTTGGAATTTTGGATAGACATGAAACCATGATTCTGCATTTAATAACAGAAGGAGCATGAGAGATCAAGAAACGAGGTCACTAACTGAATATGATGAAACTGGTGCACTTTACCCTAGTTGCTGCTTTTGTATATATATGACAGTGTAGTATTTAAAATTGTAAAGTGCCCTAGAGAAGCTCCTAAATACTTATATATAAAAAAGTTGTGCATTGCAAATGTATACTGGCACAAAGCTCTGTTCATGACATTCATTCTATTGTCAGATATGGATAGAAAGATATTTCAAAGGGAGCAATGTGGTTTACTCTTGCTGTGGGAATAGAAAAGACGTCTAAGATAGAAAAATTGTTTCCCATTTACACTGTTCCCCGTTTTAATGACATTTTTTTCACTTAAGTTGTATAACATTCTGTTAACTTGAGTTTTTTTGGTTTTTAAAAAATTTTCTATCATCCTTTATGATTTTTGACAAGGAATGTAGATTTTATTTTTTTAAATGGATGGAGGGGTTGTTCAATTGAGAAGATAGTCATGAGTATCTCTTGGTGTTCTTTTTTATCTGTTTTGATTCTACATCATTGTCTGTTGTTATTCTTAGAAAATCTGATTTTTTTTTAGCAAAAAAAATATATAAATTATATGGGTTCCACCTCCATAAATTATGAAGTTTCTTCAAACTTTATTGCATCCCATCCAATGCCAACCTACCACATTAACTGATTGTTGGTGAGGAATTCTAGAACTCTTAAAAGAACCTGCTATTAACTTTTTGTCCAGGTCGGCAGTCAAAGGAGAGCAGCGGTCGTCATAGCACCGGTTCTGCACAGTACAGCACACCCTTCACACCACTCAACACCTTCATGAAGCATCTGGACAGTCTAGCAGCGAGTGAGTAGATAGCATTTCATCGACAAGCTCTTAGAATGAACTAAGCCCTGAAAGCAAAATTTTACAGGAGTGAGAAAAACTGTTTCAGTCTCTCAACAACTGTACCCACTTTATGTATTTTTTTTTTGTTTAAAAACATTTAGAACCTGGATTTGAACAAAATATTTCTTCAACACATGCAACTGAAACCACTGTTTAAGAAACTGCTCCAAAAAAAAATTCTGCATTTTGGGCTTAGTACATACTAAAAGCTGGCTGACAGTTTATGTATGTTTTAATTTCCCTGCCTACTGAACATGTTCGGGTGTTTCGTGGGTGGTTGAGCGAGGGCTGCTCATTACTTTTCTCTTCACCTTTCATAGTGCCCTTTTCTCTTTCTGGACCAGCGTCTGTGGTGTTGCAGTTAGGCACTTCACCATCGCACACAAGAGACCTGAGTTTGATTCCCATATGGGAGAAAAATTTTATGAGTATCTTGGTTTTTTGCTGGGATGTTGTTCCCCTTTCAGCCCAGGGTTGGCCTTGACAAGCAGGCGTGAAGCCCGCCTTCTAAACTGATCTAAATTGTGTTGATGGGGGTGTGAAACACCAACATTTAAAAAGAAATTTACTATCTGGAAAAATATTTCCGTAAAAAAAAACTATCTTTCTGTATGCAGCTACAGCTCACTTGATGAACTGATAGTGATAGGACTCTGGGCTGAAAGGATAGATTAAAGAAAAGAAGAAGAAAGAATCTTTAAATGATAATAATAATAGATAGCATTTATCTAGTGCTCTAACTAGTTCAAAAACGAGCTCTGAATGCTGTACAGCTGTTAATATTACCCCAGCAGACCCTAGAACACTAAAAAAACAATGTCAACTTCCTGGGGAATGCAAAACTTTCACAATGGGACTTCCGAACCTTTTCATAATTTTCTTAGAAGATGTGCTCAGCCCAACCTACCCTGGGATCAGGGAGTTTAGAAAACATAAGGAAAGACCTGATGCTTGCTGGGATTGAACTATGGCCCTCCGGGTTGACAGTGGAACACCATACTTGTTGAGCTAGTGCACCCCCTTAGAAGAAGTTCAAATCCACTCAAATTTGAGCCTGAAAACATATGTGCTTGTCAAACTTTAAAACCTATGCCGCACTTCAGAGCATGTGGTTATGTGCTACATATTTTAATGTTTTCACAGGGTGCTCTCGTAAATTGAGTTGTCATAAGCTTAAAGCTGGCCTTCTTAAGATTAAGTTTGGTGATTAATATTTTTGAAGACCAGTGATAAGAGAAGAATGAAACAGGGCATGTATCGCAAAAACTTTGAGAGGTGAAGTTATAATTGGACTGAACATATTGCAGACTTCCTGTTTATTGAGCTAGTATGGAGTCTATTTCTACGGCAAACACCAGTTTCAAGAAGACAATTTATTCCAGGCAGAGGTATTTTTACACTGCTTATTGTGTATATATTTGAATGTTATTTCTTGGAGAAATAACATACAAGTTGTTTGGTCATTTTAATCCTTTCTTTTTTGCTCCTCCAAGTGATCTTCTTGTTTCGTCCTAGATATCCCAACCAGTCGGCCCATAAACTACGACACTGGACTCATAGAAGATACGGCTTTGTACCACACCAAGACCAAGACCACCTTGGATATGTCCACAGTTAATTTTTAACCTGGAGCTGAGTGCTAAAAGTCTGGGCAGTAGTCTGTCCTTATCAGGGTGTTCAACTGTATGAGAAATGATGAGCCATTTGTAAGTTTGTTGAAAAATGGTATGACTGGTTGTGAAGCTTACCATAAAGATTATCTGAATTATTTTCCAAGTTCTATTCATGTACTTTGCCAGAAAAAGACTTATCCAGAATTCAGTATCCTATGCATTGTCCTCTTACGTATTGAAGGTATCTGTTAAGTAATATGGTGGATTTGACCAGGTCTATCAAGTCATCATCTTTGTAATGAAACTGCTGGGATCATAGAACAGATTTCATGGGAAGAGAGTCTTTGGAATTGCTTTATGATAAAACAGTATCAGTATGCAACTTATTGAATAGCTCTACAGTATAAACTTTTGTACATTAAATCTGAAAAAGAGTGTGATACACTTGCTAGAAGTTATGAAGTCTATGAAAGCACATCATTATTGTAACCAGAGGTGTTATTGTTGGCTTGTACTAGATCTAGTGATTTACCTCACAGACCAGGAGTCACCAAACTGTTTTCAAAGTGGGTTGTATAGCTGAGAGAATGCTGAGCACAGGCAGGATAATTGTTTCGTCTCATTAATGCTGAGCAAAAGTGTGATACATTTGCCAAAGGTAAAAGGCTATAAAAGCACTTTAAATAGGCACTGTAGGGTTCAATGAAAAGATTAAATTATTTTGGTGACCAAATCTTGAGCATACTACTATAAACGCATCTTCCAAGTTTTTATTTTCTGCATGGTGGCATAGCGACAGGCCAGACAAACTGACTTTGCGGCTGTCATAAACCAATAGCGCACCTTTAACTTAGTTGTTATTTCATATAGAGGTGATGCGAACTTATTTTCGATATGATCCATTGAATGTAATGTTAGAAATACTGAGAAGATTGTTTTTAAAGTTATTTTGGTCTAGTATGGACATATTACTTGAGGTGACATATATTTACTTTGGTCTGGCTTGGTCATTTTACTGGACATTAATGCCTATCCAGGGCCATTAATCTGTGAAGGGAAGTGGTGAGGAGGACTGCAGAAGAGCTCTTCAGATGAAGTCAATACCTGAACAAAGAAAAGAATTTCCCCAGACCCCTGTAGAAAGCCTGAGATAGAGATGAAAATGGAAAACTGCAGTGTCTTCACCAGACCTCCACATTACCCAAGAAGTTACTATTCTATGTATTATGTATGTTGAACATTGTGTTAGGGTTAGAGCAGTCCTTGTCAACCTTTTTATATCTAGTTGCTACTTTTGCCACCTGTAATTGGCTAATCTTGTTGTACCACCCACCTACGTGTATTTCTAAGTAGGATGATCGGTGGCTTAGTGATTAAGCTCTCAAACTGGCAACTATAAGGTCGTGGGTTCGAATTCCATCAGGGGTGTGGCATTGTGTTCTTGGGAAAGGCACTTAATGTGAATTTTCCTCACTTCACTCAGGTGGGAATGGGTACCTAGCTATAGACAGTGAAAGATATTGTCAGTTTGTTAGTGTTTGAGCACTTAACTCTTTAAACCCTGAGTTTTTTCCCCCAGTTCCCGCAGCATTTCTTTTTAGTCACCTAAACCTGGTGCACTATGTCTCATTATAACCGCAAAAGCTTGCCTCCAACTTGTAAATGGCGGAAACGAAGATTTAGTCATTACAAAAAAGGTTTGTTCTGGAATAGTTCCGGAAAACAAGCAAAAACTAACACTAAATAAAACGAAACAGTCGTCACTAGTAGTACTAGATGCTCCAAGCGTCCAATGGGGAACAAGGTTATTACCGCCGGATGCTCCCAGCGTCAAATGAAATGGGGTTTAAATAGTTAATCAGCTTCTTGCACTGTATGCTTCCCGGGAAGCTGAAAATGTTTCTGAGTGTTCTATGGTCTGCTGAGGTAATAATATAGTGTGTAAAGTGCATAGAGCTTGCTGTCAAGCGGGGATATGCACTATACAAATGCTATTTATTATTATTTTTCTCAAAATTAGCAGATATAACCCAGGGCTTGCCAGCCTGGGCTTGAGAAATGACGACTAAGTCTTAATGATTAGACTGTTATTTGCTGTTCTTCTATAATGTTGAGGTATCATGAGGTAAATTCAAATGAATCTCACGTCAGATCTTTGTTTTATTGTGAGGGCTTTTTTAAAAACTTTTTATCTCCGAGGGTCATAAAATCGAAACTAGTGAACCTATTATGATAGAACTTCCGGTAAAAGAAACCTGTTTTCGGCGTTTGTCAAAAAGTAATGTGATGTCTAAGTTGTCGTAAAGGAATCTGCCCGGGCTGCTTTCAGCTGCTCACCAGCACAACAGTTCCGACCTCGAACGCTGGGAGATAAAGAGTTAAAACAAAAGTTGCGTCTAATTTGCAGAGCACAAAATTTTTGTTTAAATGTTGAGTAGTAATGTTTCTAGTCTGTGATATGTTTTTCCGTATAATAAAACCATTTTCATCCACATTGTGTTAAGACTGTCATGATGTTTCAATTATAATGAATGTAGCCAAAACAAAATACTCAAGCAAATTATGTGAATCTTTAAAAAAATTACTGACTTCAAGCGCAAATGCTTCAGTATAGAAATGAATTACCTTTATAAGATTATAAATCTTTGGTAGATGGTTGCCATTCTAGTGTAATCATTTACTTTTCAGTGTTTTTGCGGTGCGTAGTCCTCATCGGTTCTTAATGAAATGTGGCCTTTGTTGTACCAACTTGCTGGGTTTTAACTTTAACACATTTCACCCACTCAAGAATACTTTCAGAACATATACAGCTCAAATTCCACTTGAACAGAATAAACCCGGAACCTCCCCCAATGTGTCCCTTGTGTGACTATGCATATGAGACTGTGGATCATCACCTGTTCCACTGTACATCCTTAAATGACATCAGAGCTACCCTTCTCCCTCCGAGACCTAACATTGACAACACACTCTATGGAACATTACAGCAACTGTAGCAGACCTGCACTTATCACTACATGGCATTGGACAGAAGGGCAAGAGCCCAGCTGTTGCTGGATCGATAACAACAACAACAACAACAACAAGAATACTTTGGTCTGAGAGAACCTCTTATTATTGTGACCATAGTTTGGTTATTCAAAAGAGTTCTGCTACCTTAATAGGGATGTTTTATTTTTGTACAGAGTTTTTGTTTCCTTAACCAGTAACTCTAATGAGGTCAGAAATAATTTTCTTGTCGATAAATGCTTGCGTCAAAACCTCATCTGTCATTGTAGACATGTTGTGGTTGTATACTCATAGTGAAAGTGCTATGTTGATGTGTTAAAGGGATAACATGGTTCTCATCATGCCTTATATCAGACAGAACAAGCTTTGTACTTTCTTGTATGCAAATGTCCTTTCAAGTTATGACCTAACTTCCATTTTCCTGATAGTTTTGACAAACTATGTGTAATGAACTTATTCTGTGGGGACAAAAAGGTTTTGTCGCCATTACAACGAATCGTTTGTTGTTATGTTTTTGTTAAGCAGTGTGCCATAAACTTCATTTTTCTTAGATGGACCTGTATGCCGTGTTCTTTTTTTTTTTTTGGTTGCTTTTTTTGTTGTCGTATGTTTGGAATCAGAATCAGAGATGAAGGGCCTGATTGTTCTTTTCCTCTGTGATAGTCATGTTTCTTTTCCATTTTTCTTCATTTTGAGAATACGTCATAGTATGAAACCTGTTTAACTTGTATGTCACAAGATACGCTCTGTTCTCAAGCATTGCATAGTCAGTGCTTTGTTTTACATGCTCAACAAATAAATACGGGAAATTACTTTGTTTCATTTGTGTGACTTTCGCTTTTACTACTTTTAGAAATTTTTTATCCTTTCACCTCCTTTATAAATAGGCTTACTTTGATGCAATTACCCTCAGTGAGTATCTAATTAATTATATCAATATACAGTATAACACTGATAGCTCAAATGCATTGGGACCGTCCTCGGTAGTTCGAGGGATCCATAATTTGAGAGATACGTGAACAATGTAAAGAAGAAAAAAAGATGGGACAGCAGGCACAGTACGATGGACGTGTGAATTTGAGTCTTCTGTGTTCGACCTATCTGTGTTGTACTGTATATAAATGTGTTGAGGGGAGTTATGGATTTCAATTGATTGGCTGAACTTTGGTAATCATATTATTTATGTGAAACTTTTTGTCAAACACAAATAAATGTGTTGAAATTGGGCCAACACATGGGGGCTAACACTACAAGAAAAAAAAGTACTGTTTTCCAAAAATACAATGATTTTAACAGGTTCTAACCCTAAATGATACTTTTAACAGATGCTGCTGTACAGGAAGTCAGTACACCGTTACACTTTACACTAATTTTCCTCACTCCATCCCGGTAGGAATCGGTACCCAGCTATAGACAGGGAAAGATCTTGTCAGTCTGTTAATGTTTGAGGGCTTAATCAGCTGCTTTCAATGTATGCTTCCCGGGAAGCTGAGAATGTTTCTAGGTGTTCTATGGTCTGCTGGCGTAATAATATAGTATAAAGCACATATAGCTTGCTGTTGAGTGGATGAGCTATACAAATGCTATTTATCATTATTATTACATTCTTTGTTGATCAATTTAATGATCCAACACATTTTTCTAATGAAAAAGACCTACAACTATACAATGGTGGACAGTTTTCAACCTTGAATAGTTAGATTACTGCCAAAACAGGGAACATGGGTGGTATGTTACAGACAGCAAAAAACAATACATGTATAAAACAAAGACCCATATAAAACAAAGACCCATAGATTTAAATTATAATTTTGTAGGTGGAGCACTGTCATGGCTTCTGCGCGTTTCTCTGTATGAAAACTTTGCTGTGAAGAATGTGCACCACAGGCGCCCAAACATAGGGCAAAACATCTCTCTCGCTATAATAGTCGAGAATATGCATCACCTTTCTCCCCTTGTCCTTCTTTTGGCTCCAAGTAAGTCCAATAGTGCGCCTGTTATGTTGTTTTAGTAAGGTTTTACGGCGCTCGCAACTGCATAAGGTCATATGAGTGCCAAGGCGTGGATGTCAACAGAAAAGTCCAGACGGGGAATCAGGCTTACTCTGCTCATCTTTCTAGTCTCAACAGCACATGCTTCGACTATCAAGGCACCCCGGAAATAGCAGTTCACAAGAGAGGGACAAACATACAAAAAGATTAGAGGTAAAATGACGATAGTGAGGATGAGGAAAGAAAAACCAGCAGTTCCCCCCCCATATGTTGTTCCGGCACAGTATGAGCATGACATTGATAAATCAGCCCATTTACAATTCTACTGTGCACAAGAACAATTAATATCCCCCTTTGGGAATGGCCTGAAGACAGCACTGCCCTGTTAGTGGACCGAAATTACACCAGAGTACACAATCTAGTATAACATAAAACTATAATGTAATGCAAAGTCTACGATTAAAAGTCCTCAAAGAGCACACACAGAACTTGCTGCATCACAGCACTTTCACTCACTGACGTGTCCATTCATGCATATATCTGTTGGCCTCTAGCTTCTCTGTCAAAATTCCCCCCCCCCCCCGCCCCCAGCTCCATTTTGGCCAAAATTGTAACAATTCCCCACGTTTATAGTGGGAAAAGTAAAGTTCATCTCCTTCAGCTCCATTTAGGCCAAAAATTCCTTCAGTTTTTCCCATAGAGTCTTGATAGTGGGTGGTTGACTGGTGCTCTCGTAAGGTTTGCTCCTTCTTTCCTGTTACTGTTAAACATCTCTTGTCCTTATTTCTCCTCCTTTTTTGTCTTTGTTACTCCCTTATAACACCTCAAATCTTCGGCACTTAAATGACCTAATTGTGTTGAAAGTGCCGTAAAACGCTTACTAAAACGAAGAGTCATGATGGGTAGGCAGTCCACCTCCTTTGTCTGCGTTTTGGCCAAAAATGCATCTAGTTTTCTCACAGTACGATTGAGATAGATATCGGTTTTTTGTTGTTGTTGTTTGTTTTGTTTTGTTTTTGTTTGTTTGGTTGGTTTTTTGTTGTTTTTGTTTTTGTTTTTTGCGGGGTTTTGTTGTTGTTGTTGTTGTTGTTGTTGTTTTTTTGTGTTTTTTTGTGTTTTTTTTTTTTGGGGGGGGGGGGGGGGGCTTGCATTCTTGAAATAATATAGCTTTTCCTTTCAAGACACACGGATCTGCCAACTCTCTCCGCGCTTTGGAAACATTCACTGATGTTATGGACACCGATGAACGTTATTGTTCCTTCCAACCGGATTATTGCTAAATTGGTTCAGCTGTTATTCATTAAAACCGGATTTTTGCTAACTGAAAAGGTTCAGCTCACTCATAGTAGTTTTGGTTTTTCGTGTTTCTTGGATGTGAAACCCACACAACCTAAAGCTACTTTCAAAGAGCTCTGGAAAAGATGGGGGGGGGGGAGGCACCTAGATTTTGAACCAGATGTAGCCCACAGT